CTGGTTCCCAGCACTCCCCCCCCCCTCTCTCTCTCTGTGTGTGTGTGTGTGTGTGTGTGTGTGTGTGTAACAACTATCTGTAACTCTGGCTCCAAGGGATGCCCTTAACTAGCACAAAAAATATAAATCTGTGTGAAATTTTCCTGGCAGAGTAGTAATACACCTGCCTAACTGGATATTCCCACCAATCCCAACTGTCTGAGGGGGGCTTGGAAGGTGTCCCCAATGGTGAACATCTGCTTTCCTAGTGTCTCTGTCTGCCTGTCAAAATCCTCAGAAAGCTGCCAACTGCACACACAGGCCCAGGGGCAGGGGCAGGGGCAGGGGCAGGGGTGCTTGGGTAGCTACGACCAGTTTCAGGGTGCCAGTTGACCCACCATGCTCTTCCTTTCTCTCTTCTGTGCTGAGAGCCCATGCTGATGGCCAAGCACCTGGAAAGAACTTTAGCAAACACAGGCTGTCTGTAAATTCTGGCTAACTCTGAGGCCTGCAGGCCAAGAAGACCTTCAGCAAGAGATCTTACCTAGGCCTCTGATCCCACAACTCTGCCTCTCACCCACTAACCTCTGGTCACAAGGGCCTCTTCAGTTTCTCAAACATTCTGCTTGATTCTGCCTCAAGGCTTTTTTAATCTCCCGTAAAAATCTGTTTATATCTACTCCCCTCTCCCTCCCTCTCTCCTTTCCTTCCTCCTCCCTCTCTTTCTCTCTTTGCTTCTTCCTTATTGCTCAGCACATAATCTCTTTAAATGTTTTAATTTTTCCTTGTGTTTTACTATGAATCAGCCTCCTTAGCTGTGTAGCTTAGGCTGGCCTCAAACCTGTAATCTTTCTACTTTAGTTTCCTGGGTGCTAGATTGTGGCCCCTTGTTCTTTCTGTGTATATTTATATGGGCGGCAAATATATGTATGTGCATTTGTGTGTGTCTGTATGTGTGTGTGTATGCTTATGTGGGGGCTTATATTCATGTATGTGCATTCGTGTGTGTGTGTGTGTGTGTGTGTGTGTGTGTATGTTTATGTGGGGGTATATACATGAATGTGCATTCATGTGTGTATGTGTATGCATATGTATGTTTGTGTGTGGGGTTTTTACAGTTTGTGCATTTGTGTGTATATATGTGTGTTTATGTGTATGGGGTATATTCATGAATGTGCATGTGTGTGTGAATGTTTATGTGGGGGGGTTATAATCATTTATGTGCATTTATGTGCATGTGTGTGTATATGTGGATCTATGGTCTATGTTGAGTGTTTTTCTCTTTTGCAGTCCAACTTTTATTTATTTATTTCTTTTTTGGTTTTTCGAGACAGGGTTTCTCTGTATTGCTTTGGAGCCTGTCCTGGAACTCGCTCTATAGACCAGGCTGGCCTAGAAGTCATAGAGATCTGCCTACCTCTGCCTCCTGAGTGCTGGGGTTAAAGGTGTGCGCCACCAGTGCACGGCTTTGTCCAACTTATTTTTGCAAGACAGGGTCTCTCATTGAACCCAGAGCTCCCCATTCAGTCTAGACTGCCTGGTCAGGAAGTCCCCAGGTTCCTCATGTACCCCCAGTGCTGGGTGACATTACATGTATACTGTCATGACTAGCTTTTATATGGGTGCTCTGGATCCAAATGCTGGTCTTCATGTTTGCATACAAGCACTTTATCCACCAAGCTATGTTCCCAGCTCTGCCCATTTTGTTCTCACATGGCTTTCATGCCATTCCTGTCTTATTGACATTTGTATAAAACTCTCTTCATGCCCCCGTCCCCTTTCCTCTCCCCCAGCACACATCCCAATGCACTGTCACAACATTTACACTCAGTGGTTACATTACATATGTGACTGCTTTCTATCATTCCCACCCCCCATGATAAACATGGCTGAGATACCAAACGACGAATACTGTTGGAAGGCCTAGAGAATACTGGTGAAAATTAAAAAAAAAAAAAAAAAAAAAACAACTCTCGGGTTAGATCATCTAGGCCTTTGAAATGCAGCACAACACAAAATTTCGAGCTTATTTGAAACATTATGGTGGCTTTTGTGTGTGTGTGTGTGTTTCAGCAGTTCAAAAAGTTCTACATATTTATTACTACACCAGCCAACTTGCTCCTGTATTTAAGGTGCTCACCTCTCCAGAGACTTTCACCTCCACCTGGTAGGATGGATGACAATGAATCAGTGTAGACACCTGTGTCACTGTAATTGAGCCCTTACAGACCAGGTGTGGCTCTAGTCCAGCGTCTTGTCTTGGAGGTAGCACCAATTTTATACTAGTTTTCATTCCAATCCATTGAGGGAATGGGACCATTTTTGCTTTTGTATCTTGGCCAGAAATATTTTGATTGTGACAGTCTTGTGAAAATATATGGTGAGAAAATTCATTGGGTGCAGTTTATAATGGCAGAGAAAAGGGTTCCCCCCCCTTCTCTTTTAATTCAGTTGTTCAGCTCTTGACTGTGAACTCTGTAGATGACAATGCCAAGCTACAATGTTAAAAGGTTGGACACCCTTGGTGTTCATTGAAACCAACAATGCCATCTGCCCAATGAAAGTGTGTGTGTATGTTGGGGGAGTGGTAACCAGATGGCTTGTCTCTAAGAAGCTTCAGAACAAGGGCCTCAAAGATGCAGCCCCAGTTTAAGGCTAAAAGCCTGGAGGCTCCCTGGAGGGCTGCTGGTGTGAATCTCGCTGAAAGGTTGAAGCAGCTAGAGAGTCTGATGTCTGCTGATGGCGAGAGCAGCAAGATGAACTTGCAGGGGAGAGGTAATCCAGTTTTCATGGGCTGGGGGCTCCCTCCTCTCACTTCGGATCCCTCCAGGTCTCCAGCTTATTAAGAGGGAGGGTCTTTCCCCCACTCCATTGCTATGGCACATGTCAGTCATATCTGAAAACACTCTCGAAGACATGTGTTCACTGATCTCCTAACCATTTCTCAATCCACTCCAGCTGACAATGGAGATTAACTGTCACACTGCTCTTCTCTACTGACACTCATGGCTAGATCCATCAGTCATCCGAAACATGGGAAGGTCATTCCATCTTTCCCTCCCTGCAGGTCCCCGGAGCACCTGCTCTGGTGAAGGGGCTTTCTCTCAGACACTGCAGCTTCCAGAGTGCCTGGTACTGTTGGTTTTCCTTCTATGTCAAGGACATTCATTCTCTAGGTCCTTTACTGGCCTCAGTCCTCAGACCTTTTCCTCTCTGGACACTCCCACCCTAGTGATCTTACCCGGGTCTTTATCCCTACATTCCTATCCACAGTTAGTTGTGCCCTCTTCCCTGAATATCCGACTCATCTATTCAGCATGGTCCTCAGGGCCCCACCTGGACATGGGACTAGAAGCACTAAGACACATACCAAAATGAAATTTTGTTTCTCCTCCACTGTATCATGTGCTTAGGCCGGAGATTATTTGTTTGTTTGTTTGCCTCAGTAAAGGCTATCTTCTCACAGCAAGTCAAGTCCTGACATTTACGGTTCATTTTAACTTTTCTCTCATCCAATCCATCAGGTTTGGCTTTTGCTTATATCCAGAAGCTAACCCCTTTTTGCACCATCACTGCTATTCCTTATCAGCATTTTTGTTTGTTTGTTTGTTTATTTTTGAGGTAGGGCGTCATTATATAGCCCAGGTGACCCTCTAACTTACTATCCTCCTGCTCAGCCTCCAGAGGAGCTGGGATGCACTCTGAGACCTTGTCTTTGCCTGTTGTTGTTGTTGTTTTTTTTTTTATTTCTTATACTTTTATTTTTTTGAGACAGGATTTCTCTGTGTAGCTTTGGAGCCTGTTCTGGCTCTTGCTCTGTACATCAGGCTGGCCTTGAACTCACAGAGATCTGCCTGGCTCTGCCTCCCAAGTGCTGGGATTAAAGGTGTGTGCCACCAATGCCCAGCCTTTTAATATTTTTTTTAATAATGTATTTTACTTTTTTAAAAAGTATCTTTCTTCTTAAAATTCAAATAAATCGGGGCATCAGTGGTGCACACTTTTAATCCCAGCACTTGGGACATAGACATGAGTAGGGACCTTATTACCTGAAATCCATCTCAACGCCCATCTCTACCAACCCTGGAATAGATCTTTGGCATTTAAAACAAAAACAGCCAGGCACACCTTTAATCCCAGCACTTGGGAGGCAGAGGCAGGCATAGATCTCTGTGAGATTGAGGCCAGCCTGGTCTATAGAGTGAATTCCAGGACAGTCAGGGCTACACAGAGAAACCCTGTCTAGAAAAAAATAAATAAAACAATAATTAAAAGAAAAAAACAAATATAATCTTCACGAAGGCGGAGACTTATTTTGTTGGGTAAATCTCCAAAACTTAAAGCAGTTCTGCTTTAAGGAATGAAGTAAGGGATTAGTGTGTTGGACCAAGGAACAAGAGCTAAATTGGTCGAGGCTTTATTATATAAGACTAAATTATATTCACAGGTAATTATACAATTTTTACACAGGAGGAAATGGAGGCACAAGAAAAGTAAATGAATTTCATGACTATCTAGGTGTTAAGAGCTGGGGATGTTGCATGGTGGTGTGAAGTGGTGGTGTGAAGTACTTAACAAACATGCACAAAGGTTTGGTTCCTAGGATCTGAGGGAGGAAAAACAAAAACAAAAAATCCAAGTAGAAAGCCAAGTCTGTATTCTCTACTTCAAACACCGAGATTACATTTTGTAAAGCGAGAAGCCGGGAGGTGGTAGTGCATGCCTTTAATCCCAGCACTCCGCAGCCAGAGGCAGGAGGATTTCTTCGAGTTCCAGGCGGGCCTGGTCTACACAGCGAGTTCCCTGACAGCCAGGGACACACAGAGAAACCCTGGATCAATACATACCCCATCAAAAAGAGAAAAAAAGGAAAAAAAGACACCTCCTCGTAGGTCTGAGCCCAGTCTCTAGAGCCTGTCCCCGGTCCTGCACTGGCCGCCTGCAGCTTGACTTGGGGGAGCAAGAGGGGCAGAACAGAAGACCAGCGGAACGCAAAGGAGGCGGGGGTGTTTCTGGCCGGAGCGCTTTCCCGCCTCTCCCGGAAGCGGCTCCCGCTGCCTGGATAACGGTGGCGGTCGAGCAGCGATGGATCTGGAGGAGGCGGTAAGGACCTACAGGACTGCACGGAGATCGGACTTGGCGTTCCCTACCTCAAAGAGCTGAGGGGAGCCAGGCGGAGGAGGAGCAGCGCGGGGAGGAGGTGTCGGCTGGGGGCGGTGACCCGCAGAGGGGGCGGAGCGAGGGGCGGCGAACACGCGGCCCGGAACCAGGCTGAGCTGCCACCCGGGGAGGATGCGGGATGGGAATAGGTGCGAGTGGGTGGAGTGTTTGTGCGCATGGGGCGTGGGCCTGGAGGAGGATGAAGCAGTGGGTCTATGGGATGGACGCTCCCATGGCTCATCCTCTCCGGAGCGGACCACCCAGCAATGCTCCCTTTGATGCTGGGTGGGTGAGGAAGGGCAGGACTTGGGAATTGGGATGCCTGGAAGAAACCCTTGCCAGTTTCTCTGGGATTATCGATTCCAGACCCCTGCTGAGGATATTCCAATGTGCTGTCTTAGTTAGGGTTTCTATGGCATGAAACACCATGAAAGAAAAAGCAAGTTGGGGAGAAAAGGGTTTACTTGGCTTACATTTCATGCAACTGTTCATCATCTAAGGAAGTCGGAACAGAAACTCGAACAGGGCAGGAACCTGGAGGCAGGAGCTAATGCAGAGGCCATGGAGGGCTGCTGCTTACTGGCTTGCTCCCCGTGGCTTGTTCAGGTTGCTTTCTTATAGAATCCAAGACCATCAGTCCAGGGATCGCACCACTCACCTTGGCCTGGGTCCTCCCCATTAATCACTTATTAAGAAAAGTCCTTACAGGCATGTCTACAGCCCAATCTTAAATTGGCATCTTCTCAGGTGGGATTATCTCCTCAGATGACTTTAGATTGTGGCAAGTTGTACTATACCTCATCATAAAAGTGGTCAAGATGTTGAATTTTAGATGCACTTTAACACGATAGGTGTATCCAGTAACTGACCCATAAGTCAAATACCAAAGAATTAAGATCTAATTCCGTGTGTGTGTGCACAGCAGAATAATCATAGAGGGTCCCATAGCAGAATCCCAGTAAATACTAATAAGTGTTGAATGATGGATGATTAAAGTCAGGAAAATAAGTTGATAAAACTGAAATTGCAGCTTACCATGATCCATCCATGTAGGCCAAGGGTGAATCCCATGTTCCTCTTTTGTAATATAGAATCCCAGGCACCCAGTTACACATCTATGACACATAATACAGTTGACATCCCTTATATTGCTGGATGAATAAATTAAAACTTGAAACATCTGCTTCTTGGTATGGTTTCAGTGCCTTAAAGGAAATGCCAATGGTGTTTCTAGTCTCTGTATTTTTGTTTTGCCTATCCATACATTGGGTCATCTTTTTCTCCCTCAGCACATTCAAGTTTTACTTGTGTCTTTGTTTTCAGTTTAGCCTTGTCCACCTTTCTTTCTTGGTTTTCAGTCTGAATATTTTAGTAGTTTTGTGGAATAGTTAGACTGCTAGACTGTTTCATGCTGCTAAAGAGACTGAACTCCTTTTTTTAATAGTTTGATGTATTTTTAATTCTCTATGACTTTTTAATTTTGGGAATGAAATTTCCAAGAATGCTGGAGGTAAAACTTAGAACCATGAGGTTTAAGATGCTGTGTATCTGTCTGACAATAACAGTTCTTCTGCCTTCTACAGAAATCACTCACAGAACGTTGTTCTCAATGTGATGCTGTCTCCTGGGGCCTTACTGATGAAGGCAAATACTATTGTACTTCCTGCCATAATGTCACAGATGTAAGTAACATGCTACTCATGGATTTACTGATGCTTTTAAAATTGTAGTTTCAACCTGGTGTGTGGCCTAGTTCCTAAAAATGAATATTTTCGTCAATCATTCAGTGGCCAACTTCTAAGAATAGTAACAGTCTTCAAGAGCACAATCTTGGATTAAGAACTTTGCAAATTAGATTGAAGTTGAACTTTTAAAATTATGTTGAGCCCCTGGACAGTGGTGGTGGTGCACACCTTTAATCCCAGCACTTGGGAGGCAGAGGCAGGCGGATCTCTGAGTTTGAGGCCAGCCTGGTCTACAGAACGAGTTCCAGAACAGCCTGCCTCAAAAAATTAAAAAAAGAAAATGTTGGGCTACATTTAGAAATGAATGTTTCTTTTAGACTGTGTGTATGGAATATTTAGAGTACACTTGGAAAGTTTTTAGTGGGTTGTACTAGCACAGAGATTTGGAAGGTGGGATGTAGGGTGAGTGCTGGTTGTATTGGAACTGCTTCATTATCACTTATCTTTGTGCAGTTCCTTTACAAAGTACTGAGCACTTTCTTACCCATTATGTGATTTCTGTCTCACAACAACCTGTGAGACACAGGGTTATACCTAGACAGACAAGGGCACATGAGTTGTTAGCAGGTTTTGTTGCTGTTGTTTGTTGTTTGGTTTTAAGATAGAGTGTTACTCTGTAGACCATGCTGGGCTCCAATTCAGAGACCCAAGAGAGCTGGGACTAAAGGCATTTGCCACCACTCCTGGCACTAGTTGAGTTGGTTGGCTAATGTCACAGGAGTGTGGCTGGCCTGCTGCTGGACGAACTAAACATGCCAGTGTTCTCCATAGGAAAGGGTTTGCTAGGAGTGTAGAGGTAGGACGGGGCAGGCAGGCGCTGCCTTCACCACTCGTTCACAAAGGCCAGGCGGATCCTAAGAGAAGCTGCACCCCAACACAGTGTGGTAGGGCCTGATTTGCCTTTCCACCTCAGACAACTAAAAGTCTGGACAAAAGGTATAAAACAAACAAACCCCTTAAGAGCCATAGCTGATGTGGTTTTTATTTTTATTTTTTATTTTTGAGACAGGCTTTCTCTGTGGCTTTGGAAGCTGGCCTTATAGACCACGCTAGTCTCAAACTCACAGAGATCTCCCCACCTCTGCCTCCTGAGTGCTGGGATTAAAGGTGTGCACCATCACTGCCCAGCATAGCTAATATGTTTGATAACACAGTTATGGGAGCGCTTTTCTTTTATAAGTAGGTGTGTGTGTGTGTGTGTGTGTGTGTGCGCGTGCGCGCACACACACACACACACACATGTGAGTGCAGGTACCTGTGGAGGCCAGAAGAGGGAGCTTGTTTTGGGGTGGTTGTGAGCTGCCTGACACAGATGTGGAAACCCAAGCATCCTCTGCAAGACCTGTGCATGGCCTTAGCCCTGGCCATCTCTCTAGCCCCACACTGGTGTGTTTCCTTGATGTGGCTTCTTCAGTCTACAGCTCAGATGCTTGCTTGTGGCCCTGTTAGGCAGACAGGATATTAATAAGATATATACTTAACTGACAAAACCACTGGAGAATGACTGAGTACTACTCTCCTTGATCAGGTCTCGTCAAAATGCATAAATACTCATGTCCACAAAAACCATCAGATTGGGCACTTGAAGACTGTGCACTTTGTCCTTAGCTTTGATGCCCATTAAGACTCTGGTGGTTTAGTCACTGTTAATTTCATGGCGTAGTTCAAATATAAACATAGTGAAGGAGTGAGTGTCATAATGGAAAAGTGTCCATTTATGGATGGAGCCAGGGCACTATTTTTATAGGAACTGAACAGCCATAACTAATGGCTTCTTTTATTTCTGTCTTTGATACTTCATGGTTCTATCTGCTCAAATCTGGTACCATCATTTTTAGTTTGAAAGAATATAATATTACTGCCTAGTTTCACATTTAAGACTCAACCCAAAGGAGTAATATATAAAATTTTTGAAGGTGGGTGGCATTTCTTTTTCCTCCTGTGTAGGGGGATGATCTCATCTAGGCATGTGTCATACTAATTACATCCCTGGTCCCTACATGTATTTGTAAAAGGCCACGAACCTCAGAGGCTTCCCTCCACACAATAAGCAAACCAGGGTGTTGTACAACATCAATTGATATTTCTGGATTTACACTAATCCGGGCATATTCAACACAATTAGTATACAGCAGGAGTTGTGCTTCCTGGTGTGTAGTGTGAGGTGTTGAAATTCAGTGGGTGAAGAATGGTCAGTGCCAGTCCACCTGGGGCAAGTGAAGCTGTGGTACATCTCGCCTGGCTTTGTGCTTCTTGCCTTCACCTAGTTCACTGTGCCTGATTTTTCAAGCTCTTGGCACTGGACAATTCCAGAAAAGCCTTCTGGGTAGAAAGCTCTTTCCCCTGATGTGTTTTAGTCAGGACAAAGAATGTAAGGTCCTTAATCTGGCCGGTTTAGACTCCATGTATTTTTTTGCAAGTTCTTAAGCATTTAATAAAAGTATGGGCTCAAATTATGTGAGTTTCATAGATTTTATAAATGCTCACTGTAGGAAGTGGAAAACTGCAAATGAAAGCAAAAATCACTAATATCCTCAGTATACATTCAGCAGCTTCCTCAGTCTTTTGTTCTTTTGAGTATGAGAAGGGAGGGGGAGACTTATGAGAGCCACCGAGCCTGTCATTTCATGATTTTTACTCTGTTAGTCTAAATTTTATGGATTTCTATTTGTTATGCAAATATTCCACAATCTAACCATTGAGTTAGCTAATCATAGTGTCATGGGGATGTTTAGCCTTTTCTATTTTGTTTTTGTTGTTTATGTCTTATATATCTTAAGAGTAAAGCCCCTCCCACCTTGTACTTTGTTTTACCTGTCTTTTCTCAGTAATTGCTTTAGTGGGTTTTTTTTTGGGGGGGGGCATATCTTACCTTATCACTATAGCCAACTTAGTAAATCATATTGCTTTGAAAATTAGGGAAACTGTAGTCCAGAAATCCTACTGTTTGTTAGGGGTGTGTCTGTCATTCTGTTTGTTTGAGATAGGGTCTCATGTAGCCCAGGCAGGCTTCTGGGTATTAAACCTAGGGTTTGGGCATGTTAGGCAAGTTTTTATCAACTGGGTTATATCCTCAGCTGGTACTTTTTATTCTTATTGAGATTCATTCTGTTGGTGTGGGATAGCCTGGGATTCCAAATACTTGAAGGGCAAGGTGACCACAAATTGAGGCTTTCCCAGGCTATCTGGAAACATCCCCCCCACACCCCCTAAAAAGATAAGCTTCATCCTCATTTAGAAAAATATAGTAATGCCACTTATTATTTAAAAACTTGTTACGTCTCTCTAGAAATCAGACTCAGTGGTTTGTTTTTAGTTGTAAGAAGATCAGTCAGAGATAATTGCCCTTGATAAAAGTTGGCATTGATCAGTTTGTTATAAATATTACTAACCATTACCATTCTAAAATTCTGTTTTATTGGAAATAAAAAGTAGCACCAAAAATATATAAATAAACAGAAAAGAAAAATATCACTTTTATTCTACTTATTTTATTTTTTTCAGATAGGCTCTTGCTTTGTAACCCTGTCTGACCTGGAACTCACTTCATAGACCAGGTTGTCCCAGCTTCTCAGGGAGAAGGGGCCTCCCTGTGTGTGGGGGTTGGGCAGGGGTACCAGCCTTACTGAGTCAGTAATTTGATTCGCTTTGAGAGAAGATATATGTAACACAGGCTGGCCTTAAACTCCTGCTGTTCCTGCTTTCACCTCCTAAGTCTAGGATTATGGGTATATGCCACTGTCTCTAACCATAATTGCATAATTGTTCTAATGTTAATGTGTATTTTTCATGAATAAAAAATTGAGTATATTTTATTCTCTGCTTTGAAATGTTAATATATTTTTACATGGTTCCCCTTATTTTTAAAAAATTAAGTTTATTTTTTAATACTTTTTTTTTGTTTTGTTTTTTTGTTTTTTTGTTTTGAGACAGGGTCTCTCTGTGTATCCTTGGCTGTCCTGGAACTCGCTCTGTAGACCAGGCTGGCCTCAAACTCACAAAGATTCTCCTGCATCTGCCTCCCGAGTGCTGGATTAAAGGCGTGCACCACCATGCCTAGCTTTTAGAATTCTGTTTAATTAAAACATAATTTCATCGTTTAAAATAAAGATGTATTTGTTTGGTTACTGTGTGCCAGCTCTTTTAGAAACCTAAACATTTTAGATGAAAAAGCAGCATAAAGATTAACTAGTGTAGTATGGTTTCACCATTGTCCATCCATGCACTCTGTTTTCCAGAGCATGCTCGGAATGTGTATAAAGCTCTTTTCCTCACTGTCTGTTTTGTTTCCTGCAGCGATCTGAGGAAGTTGTAAGCACTGCAGTCATTCCTAATACCAAGATCAACTCCATTAGCCGGGGACTGAGGAAGAGAAGCAAGCATGGTGAGCAGTGAGTGCCTGCTGGCACTTCAAATCTCTCCTTATGCTCTCCTTCATGACCTGGGGACACAGAGTGGAATTTTAAATAAATTCCAGACAAAATGCCAGCATTTTAAGGAGAAAATCCAAACTAGAATTAAAGTTATGGCTGATGGTAAAATTAGAAGCAGATGCATTGGATAATATGTTGTTGGTAAGCCACTCTTCCTGTGGGGCAGCTGGTGTGCAGAAGGTAGTGACCGTGCCTGCTGCCTTACTGTGCTGGTCTGTGCCGTTGACTATGATGTCACTTTTTGAAACGACTCAACTGTGGGCTTGTCAGATTAGGCAAGTTAAACACCATATTCAGCTTTCAAAACACCATTTCTCACATTGAATTTTGAACATAGCTTTTTAAAATAGGAAAAATGAATTTTCCCTAAAGTGGCTGGAGTATTGGTGTGAGTTCAGTGAGGAAGCCATTATGGAGAAGGGTCTGGACACATCTGGCTGATGTTGTGTATTTTTGTGACTTGCTAGGTTCTTAAGTTGGAAACCACTGACCTAATGATGACAGTAAACAGTTCATAAACGGTAACTGTGAAGGTATACATACAAACATACTTGTGTATGCATATGTATAAACATACGTATAGACAGCATACTTGACACTCTTAGATGAATAATAGAGAGAAGCTAAAATATTAACACATATTAAAAAATGTGGCACACTCCTTTAATCCCAGCACTCGGGAGGCAGAGGCAGGCGGATCTCTGAGTTTGAGGCCAGCCTGGTCTACAGAACGAGTTCCAGGATAGCTTCCAAAGCTACATGGAGAAACCCTGTAGGTCTGTGTACCTTGTGTGTGCAGGTCCCCTTAAAGGCTCCATGTTGGAGCTCCTGGACTGGAGTGACAGATGGTTGTGACCCAGTATTTAGGTGCTGGAAACCAAACCCAGGTCCTCTTTGAGAGCAATCAGTGCTCTTTGTCACTGAACCATCTGCATCTCCAGTCCAGGAATGGCTGTTTATGGGCTAAAACCTGATTGATTTTTATTCAGTTTTATCAGAGTAAAACTTGATTAATTGTAACTCATATATGTAAGTAGTTAAAGTATGATAGATAATTCAAAGTACAATATATTAACAAAATGCTTGGTTTTGTTAAATACAAATATATCAATTTGGAAATTGATACAAATACATCATATTGGAAAAAAGAATATAAAGGTAGAAATTTTTCACAGCTGCACATGATAGTGGATGCCTATGCTCTCAGCACTTAGGAAGAGGAGACAGAGGCAGGGAAACTGATACAAGTTTAAAGTCCGCCTGCCTGGTCTGCATAGCAAGTTCTGCATTGGCTGCTCTTCCAGAGGCCCCGATTTCGGTTCCCAGATCCTGTATGGCAGCTCATAACTGCCTGTAACTTCAGTTACAGATCCAGTTATCTGACATTCTCACAGATATACACAGGTAAAATAAATAAATAGATAGATAGATACATAGATAATTTAGAATAAAGCAAAGTGCACACATACACACACACACAAAAAAAACAAAAAGGAAGAAAGAGAAAGGAAGGAAGAAAGACTATTTGAGATATAAAAGTAGTCTTTTAGCATGTGTAAACAGAAATTGCATTATGTAGAAGAATCATAGTAAATTAGGAATATGTGTGTCTAAAGCTTGTTATTTGTCCTTTAGAAAAAGGCTGGGATTGGTATGTGTGTGAAGGTTTTCAGTGCATACTATACCACCAGGCAGAAGCCCTGGAGACCCTTGGAGTAGGCACAGAGCTAAAGGTAAGTCATGCATGTCTAGATGTTAGCTCCTCACTGTTTGAAGGGGGACATTTGAGTGGACTTGAGCAGGAGTCATCAGGAAGAGCCGGGCTCTGACCCTGAGTGGGAGTGTCAGCCTGTGCAAATTGTTTTCTTTCTGTGACTCTTGATTGTAAAAGGACAGGCATTTCATGGTGATCTTTAATGCCTATTCTGTTCCCTAACTCCAAGATTAGAGGTATATTTTGAGGTCTATCTTTAATCTCCAGTACTGAAAAGCAAAGTAAAGTGTTTGTTGATTCAGTGTTTCTCATGTGCCTGATAAGGAAAAGCAGGTGATCTGTGAAGGATGAGTATGTGTGGTATTAGGTGTGCAGGTGTGGTATAGGTGTGCAGGTGTGGTATAGGTGTGCAGGTGTGGTATAGGTGTGCAGGTGTGGTATAGGTGTGCAGGAGTGGCATAGGTGTGCAGGTGTGCTATAAGTGTGCAGATGTGCTATAGGTATGCAGGTGTGCTATAGGTGAGCAGGTGTGCTATAAGTGTGCAGGTGTGCTATAGGTGTGCAGGTGTGCTATAGGTGTGCAGGTGTGCTATAGGTGTGCAGGTGTGCTATATGTGAGCAGGTGTGCTATAGGTGTGCAGGTGTGCTATAGGTATGCAGGTGTGCTATAGGTGTGCAGGTGTGCTATAGGTATGCAGGTGTGGTGAGGTGTGCGGTTGTGCTATAGGTATGCAGGTGTGCTATAGGTGAGCAGGTGTGCTATAGGTGTGCAGGTGTGCTATAGGTGTGCAGGTGTGCTATAGGTGTGCAGGTGTGCTATAGGTGTGCAGGTGTGCTATATGTGAGCAGGTGTGCTATAGGTGTGCAGGTGTGCTATAGGTATGCAGGTGTGGTATAGGTGTGCAGGTGTGCTATAGGTATGCAGGTGTGCTATAGGTGTGCAGGTGTGCTATAGGTATGCAGGTGTGGTATAGGTGTGCAGGTGTGCTATAGGTGTGCAGGTGTGCTATAGGTGTGCAGGTGTGCTATAGGTGTGCAGGTGTGCTATAGGTGTGCAGGTGTGCTATAGGTGTGCAGGTGTGCTATAGGTGTGTCTGTGTCATGCCATCATAGTGATTTACCACTTGTTTTCCTCTCACCCTAGAATGACGTTTTACACAACCTTTGGAAGCGCTACCTTCAGAAGAGCAAGCAGGCCTATTGTAAAAATCCAGTTCATACAAGAGGAAGGAAAGCCAAGGTGAGCCTTGGAGCCTATCAGCAGGAGCAAAATTCACCTTATGTGGCAGTGACAAAGGTGCTGTTTGTGGTTGCATGAGTCTGATTGTGGTGCTTGTTTATGGGTTGTCAGGGAAGGGGCTCTGGGGCAATCCAGAACAGTCCAGACCAGACCTCACAATGAAGTGAGGTTGCTTATTAACTAGTTGTAGCATAAAGGCAATTATAATTCATCTTTTTTTTTCAATGTATGATTATTTATTTGTTACCCTTATTTTTGACTGGACTCAGACTTGGAAGTAGAAGCTCTCAGAGAGGACAGCCTGCATCTTTGGCGATCTGTTCCTGGCGCTTTTCTTTTGCTTCCTTCATTCTCTTGGCCAAAAGTTTAGCATATTCTGCAGCCTCCTCCTTGTTTTTCTTTGTACGTTGTTTCTTCAGAGCAATACGACGGCATTTGTGTTACAGGACATGTGGAGTAACAAGACACTGAATCTTGGGTGCTTTGGTCCTGGGCTTCTTACCTTCTTTGTTTAAAGGCTTTCTCACGACATATTGGCGGACATCATCTTCTTTAGAGAGATTAAAAAGCTTTTGGATTCTGCTAGCTCTTTTAGGTCCCAACCGACGAGGAACAGTAGTATCTGTCAGTCCAGGAATATCCTTCTTTCCTTTTTTTTACTATGACCAAGTTGAGAACGCTCAGATTGGCATCCACGATGCATCCTTGAACAGACTTGCGCTTCCTCTCTCCAGTTCTCCTTGGTCTATAACATGAATGCCCCTTACTCAACAGCAGGCACACTCTGCCATGGGTCAAAACACCTTGCTTCATGGGAAAACCTTGTTTGTCATTCCCACCACTGATTCGGACCACCTAACCCTTCCACTCTTCACCCAGAGCATCAGCAGCTACTTCTGTGGCCATGCTTCTCATAGAACGTACGAAGCTTGCGCTCATCATCCACTTCGATGAGCTTCTGGCAGCCGGTGCCGGGGAAGGAGATATTCAACTTCATCTTTGCACCTCATCTTCTTCTTTTTTTTTTTTTAAAGATTTGTCATGTATGCAAAGTTCTGTCTGCATGTACACCTGCAGGCCAGAAGAGGGCATGAGATCTCATTGCAGATGGTTGTGAGCCACCATGTGCACCATGTGGTTGCTGTGAATTGAACTCAGGTCCTCTGGGAGAGCAGCCAGTGCTTTCAACCGCTGAGCCATTTCTCCAGTCCTCCCCCTCCTTTTTTTTTTTTTTTTTTTTTTTTTTCTTTTTTGAGTCAGGGTTTCTGTGGCTTTGAGCCTGTCCTACAACTCACTCTGTAGATCAGGTTGGCCTCAAGTTCACAGAGGTCCTCCTGCCTCTGCTTTCCGAGTGCTGGGATTAAAGGCGTGCACCACTACCGCTGGCTTCATCTTTCTTTTTAAAGTTTTTGTTGTTGTTTGTTTTTGGTTTTTTGAGTCAGGATAGCACTCCATAGCTCAGGCTAACCTTGAACTCTGGTAATCCTCCTGCCTCAGTTTTTCAAGTGCTAGGATTATAGCCACCACACCTATCCTGGCTGACCTTAAATTCACAGAGATCTCTGGCTCTGCCACTCAAGTGCTGTGATTAAAGGAGTGTGCCACTACCCAGTTTATTTTATTTTATTTTATTTTATTTTAAGATAGGGTCTTATGTATCCCAGGCCAGGTTTGCTTGCTGCATAGTCAAGGACAACCTTGACTTGCCTCCACCTCTCAAGTGCTAGATTGAGAGACATAAGCTGTGATGCTCTGTTTATGTGCAGAGGACCAAACCAAGGGCTTTGTGCATGCCTGGCAAGCAGTGTACTCTCTGAGCCACATCCTGTGTTGACATCATTCATTCCCTTCACTTGACATTCCTGCTTACTTTACCTGGCATTTCCATACCCAGTCTCCTTATTGTCTCATCTCAGAAACTTTGAAGTAAAGGAAAGTCAGGCAGCCTATCAGAGCTGCTCTGTCTGTGAGCAGTCTGTTCCAAATTGCTTCAGAAGTGTGCAGTGTTACCTTTTGCTTGGAATAGAGAACAGCCTGCAGAGAATGGCGAGTGTCCCAACCACAGATATGTCCCATGAGTGGTAGCTACCCTCCAGGGCTAAGATGAGAGTCTAAGTCCATGTGACTCACATTTGGTAGAAGCTTGGGAGCATGGCCCAGCTCTTTCTTGTTTGGTCAGGTCTACATAGATCAGTGATCCAGGACTGAGAATCCTTGGTCAAGATGAAAGGAATAGCTTACAGAAGTGAGTAAAGGAGGTACCTCTGAGCCACACATGCATCCTCCGTGCTTAGCAACTAGTCCTGGGGCTGAGGTTAGAGTAGTTAAGTCATGCAAGGCACAAGTTAGGGAAATGACCTGGAGTTGACCCTCTTAAAATACGAGATGATAAACTTCAGCCAGCTCCCCAAAGATAATTTGGATTAACTAGAAAAAGGAAATATTTTATTATCATGAAATTATGGAACACTAGCCTGTTTGAATATGTGAGCCACAAGAAAAGCAAAAGATGCTATATGGTTTTATGGTGGCTCTTTAAAAGGGGAAAAAAGAGAATTATTCAATATGGTGAGAACATGGCCTTCAAATCTCACACATGGTGTTTTGTTTGTGGTTGTCTTTGTGTTCTGTGACATTGCCTGTTAAGTAGAAAATAGGAATGAGAACCGAGGGTTCTCTGTGATACTAATCTCTTTAGGTCAGCTGAAAACTTTTACAGACAAAAGTGTTTTTTGTGAGTAAGCCCCTGGGTGGACAGAATCACACTCAATCCTGGTGAATAAATAAGAAGTGGCATTGGAAGCTCATGGGTAAATTATATAATTTCTGTCTCAGAAGCACAGCAACACCCTTTGTTGAAAGAGAGAGGAAATTACATTTGAAATTAGAAACGGATTTGGGGTATAGCTTATAGACAGAACTTGCCCAGCAGTTCAAGCCCAGGGGTTCTGACCTCAAAAATGTAAGCTTTTCAGTAAGTCTGCATGTGTATCTTAGAGCTCTGGATGCCACTGTTCCAAGAATTACAGAGGCCTGCATCTCAATCCTGCCCTATAACTTTTGAGTTATGGATAAACTGGAAACTCCCAGAGTAAGCAAACAAACCTGTATGTTGGAGCATCAGGAAAAGTATTGTATAACCCAGAACGGTCAGGGAGAACTTCCCAAGGAGAACTCCCCAGGGAGATGAAGGAGCTCTGAAAAGTGTAGACACATGTATCTGCAGTTGAAAAGATAGGAATGTAAAACGGTCACTGGGTGTTAAAATCATCAACTCTGATGTGTTGTTGTTTGTAAGACATGCTCAAGTCTTACTGATCTCAGTATATAGCTGAGGATGACCTTGAATTTGTACTCCTCCTGTCGATAGCTCTTTTGTGCTGAGATTATAGCATCCATTACCATACATTGTTTGTGTGTGGGGATTGAATCCAGGCTTTCATGCATGGTAGGCAAGCAGTCTGCCTCTGCACTATTATCTTCTAACCAAGTTTTAGTTTTAGTTAGGGCTTCTATTGTTGTGATAAAACATCATTATCATAAGCCAGCCTTGCTGTGTAGTAAAGGACAACTTGACTTGCCTCCATCTCTCAAATGCTGGATTGAGAGGCATAAGCTGTGGTGCCATGTTTATGTGCAGAGAGCCAAGCCAAGGGCTTTGTGCATGCCTGGCAAACAGTTACTCTCTGAGCCACATCCCCAGTTCTGACTATGTCATTCCCTTCACTTGACAAAAGAGGTACTCCTAAAAACAGAAGACCTGGTGTGTGTGTGTGTGTGTGTGTGTGTGTGTGTGTGTGTTAGCAGACTGTCTCCCCATTTGCCCTTGTTTGCAGCCCCTCTTCAGGAGGGGTACTGTTGGGGAACAGTTCCCCAGGAAGGCCTGTCACAGAAGCTAACATTTAAACTACAGCAGTCATTTCTGTCTGTTATATGGACAGGTATTGGAAGACAATCTACAGAGTTCAGACTGGGCCAGTGAACTTGAGCTGCTAAGTGATACCAGCTGTCCCCTTGAAAGTGGAGCAGAGTTCCAGTCTGACCCCCAGATCCCAAAGCCTTTCCCTGTCACCAAAGTATCCCCAAAGTCAGGTAAGAAGAGAACCAGTCTCCCTAGAGCCTTTCAGAGAACCGTTTATGTGTTAGCAGTGTATATGTACAGAGTGACAGTCAGAGGACAGCTCATGGGAGTGTTCTTTCCTTCCATAGTGTGGGTCCCAGATCTCTAACTCAGGTTAGAGATAGAACAGCTGTGACTGCTGGCCTGATGTTTAGACTCTTTAAGCCAGCATCGCATCCTAAGAACAGCAGAGTCCTGCCAGGTGTGGTATGATGCCTATAATCCTAGCACTTGGGAGCTAGAGGCAGGAGAATCAGGAAACTACTGCCAGGCCTAACGACCTGAGTTCGATCCCAGGAAATCATAAGGTGGAAGGAGAGAACTGACCCCCACTCTAAGTTGTTCTCTGACTCCACATGCACACTGGCACGGGTCCTCCCCCAGTGCATGCATGCACATAATCAAAGTGAAAAACAAATGTAGTAAAATCAACATTTGAGAAAGGTAGAGACCCCAGCTCCACATTTCGTCTCCACACAGAATTTACACAGCTGGATTCACTCAGTCTAGTGAAGCGCAGTCAGGTCACAGTGGCCACTAGGGGGTATGTGTGTGTGAGTGTATGTGTGTGTGTGCATGTGTATTTGTATGTGAGTGTGTGAGTGTATGTGTGTGAAAGTAAGTACATGTGTGAAAATGTGAGAGTGTGTGAGTGTATGTGTGAGAGAGTGTGTGTATATGTGTAAGTATGTGTGTATGTATGTGAGTATGTGTGTGTATGTGTGAATGTGTTTGCCAGTGTATATTTGTGAAAATGTGTTAAGTACATGTGTGAAAGTGTGTCAGTATGTGTGTGAGTGTGTGTGCAAGTATGAGAGTTTGAGTGTGTGCATGTGAATGTGTGAGTGTATGTGTGTGAGTGTGTGCATGTGTGAGTGTGTGTGTATGTCTGTGAGTGTATGTGTGTGAGGTATGAGAGTGAGTATATGTGTGTGCATATGTATTAGTGTGTAGGAGTACAAGCACATGTGTGTAAGTGTATATGTGTGCATATGTATACAAGAGTATGTAAGTGTATGTGTGAGTATGAATGGGTGTGCTAGTGTGAATGTGAATGTGTGTGCAAGTGTGAGTATATGAGAGTGTAAATAGTATATGAGAGTGTATCTGTGTGAAAGTGTGAGTATGTGTGTGTGAAAATGAGTGTATGTATGTGTGCATGTGTGAACATGTGTGAGTGTATGTGTGTGTGCAGATGTGAGAGTGTGAGTATATGTGAGAAAGTGTGGGAGTGTATATTTGTGAACGTGTGAGTGTGTGTGTGTGTATATGTGTTCCACACACACACATTTCCTTCCACTGTGTGGGTCCTGGGAATTGAACTTGCTGAGCTAGCTCACTGGCTCCACAGTGCTAACTCTGGAACTACTGTTCCAAATCAGAAATTTAAACTCCAGCATTGAAAAGGGTGAGACATCTAATCTCACTTCTCCAGCCAGTAGATTCCCTGGTTAAGTGCTTACCTTACATTCATCCGTGTGTGTGGAAAGACCTCATCCCCACCACTGAACTCTGTATGTGCTTTTGGAGCAGTAGCTCACTGTGCTGCCTACTGTGGTCTCTGACTCACAACTTTCCTGCCTCCTTCTTGACAATGCTAGAAACACAGATTTGTGTCACCACACCTGATCAGTGTGACATCTTGATTTCTCTGGCAAACTGGCCCTTTTGCCATCTCCTTTGTCTTGGCAAATGTCTTCATTCTCATTGCATAAGCCAAAACCTGGGATCATGCTTGTGTTCTTCTAGTAGCTTATACCAGCCATCACTAAGCCCCCTGACTCTGCCTTCAAAGTCTGCCTCAAACCTGACCACTTTTCACCATCTGCAGAGCAAGTACTCCTAGTGAAGCTCTTGTCCTTCTGTCCTGGAAGAGAGCCTCCTGTTCCCATCCCAGACCTCCTGTAATTTCATCTGTGCTGTGGACTGGATAGTAGTTCCAGTCACAGAGTGAGGCCGTGTTGCTCTCATGTTAGAACTCTCTGTAAACTTCTGTCCTTACATAAAATGAAATGCAAAGTATAGACCCTGATCCTGAAGCCCCACACAGTATAGTTCACCCTGTCTGTCACTTTTTCTCATTTGTAACTCCACTCACACACATGCACATACCCACCCACACTTATACCCACCCACACTAGCGCGCGCACACACACACACTAGTACACACACACATACCCACCCACACTAGTACACACACACATACCCACCCACTCACACACACACTAGTACACACACACACACACATACCCACCCACACTAGTACACACACACATACCCACCCACACACACACACACTAGTACACACACACACACACATACCCACCCACACTAGTACACACACACATACCCACCCACACACACACACTAGTACACATACACACATACCCACCCACACTAGTACACACACACACAAACACACACACACACACACACACTAGTACACATACACACATACCCACCCACACTAGTACACACACACACAAACACACACACACACACACACACACTAGCACACACACATCCACGCACACCTTTTCACTGCTGTTAGCCTGTTGGGATTTTCCTTCAAGGTAGAATTCATCAGCTTTCTGCTCAGATATTGCCTTCTTACAGAGGTCTTACTGGCCACCCACTTGACCCTCCTACCTTTGGGTGCCTTTGCATGGCCATTTTTCTGGTAGCACTTTCCTCCATGCATTGTAATATTTGTTTATTGCTCTTAGGAGAGTGTAAGTTACAGGAGAGGTGAACCATCATTCACTCTCATTCCCCTAGGCCCAGGGGAGTGGCAGAGTGAGATCCATCACTATTTGTAGAATGGACAGTTCACTTGAGGTGCCTGGTGTGGGGGGAGGAAGTGCTGCGTTTTTCAGAGGCTCTGGGAGAGGCCTCTCTGAGGACATCAAGCCAAGGACTTCCACACTTTCAATTTATTTGTAATTGTTCATCCTTTTATTTTAAAAACATCTCTTCAGAATTTCACTCCACCCACTCCCACAGGTAACTCTAATTGCCTGTTAGCCTGGTTCCCTTTTAAAGCCTCCACTGGCCTTCATTGCCAGAGTGTTTATACAAAGTGAATCAGTTATGATCTATTTCAAATGCCCTGTTGTTTTGTTACTCATTTTTTAAAGTCTTGCTTTGTTCCTGAAGAAGCAGCAGATATCTGTTCCGGATCTGTTGATGGAGTAGAATACTCGGAGTGGAAGGAGAAGGGCATCCTCAAGATGACTGTGCCCAGGACCCTTGCTCTCTGCTATCTGTCCTTGCTCTGGCAGAGAGAAACAATTACCCTTTCAGACCTTTTGAGGTGAGCTGAACTTGGTTATCTGTGTGAATTAAGGAGCAGCCTCTGGGTATTTCTAACTTTACAGGACAAACCTGGGATGCTCGGGCTGTGTGTGGGTTTCTTTTCCCCTTGTTTTGACTGACAACTGATGAAAGCAACTAACTTAGAAGAGGGGAGATGACAGTCCTCCATGCTGGTGGTGGGCTCATGTCTGATCACTGAGTAGGGGAAGGGGTGTGGCTGCCTTTATTCCATTTCCAGTCCATGGAGGGTGCCACCTGCATCCATGGTGGATTTTCCCTTAGTTAAGCCTCTCTGGGAACATTTCCCCAGAGGTAGATGTGTCTCCTAGACCAGTCCAAATCCAGTCAGACTGACAGTGACCCTTAATCACAGCATGGAACTTGGGTTCTCATTCTTGAAGTTAATTACCTTTACATCTAATAATCTGAGTTTTTACTGATACAGTAGAAATACAGTGTGTTCCCCTCACATGAGATATTATAAAGTTAATTATCTAATGTAAATAAAGTACTTTGAAGAGAAAGTTGACATTAATGTTGCTGTTTAGACATCTTAAATATTTTTCTAAGAAAAAATAAACAGGGGATCTTTTACTAACAAAATGGCCATTAGCAGTTATATAAAACCATGTATTGTGACTGTAAAAACTAAAATATAGGCAGTCTGTTTATTAGGAAAAGTTGATATCAAAACTATAGAAAGACCTTGTAAAGCAGTAGTAGGCATTTACATATTTCCAGGTAGTCAAGAGAATTTTAGACAGAAAGACTGGCCTAAAGGAGTAGATGCCTGTGCTAAAGCCAGGTCTGTTTTTACAGGGTTTTATGACTACCAAGCTGAGTGTACAAAAACCAATCACTAACTATGCAGACCACAACCATTAATATGTTTATTTATCCCTTCCTTTATATGTGTTGAGAACAATAGCATTGAATTTAATCGGTGTATGGCATACTTACAAGGGCAGAAGTGTGAAGCCAGACTTGTGGCTCTGGCCATTCATTGTCACATGGCATGACACTGAGGAAGTCAGTGTGTGTCTTTGTTTCTGCTTCCCTCTAGGTAAAATGGCTGTACTAATAATGGCACTTGAGGGTTCTAGCCACGTTGGCCATTTGCAGTTAGAGCAGGTCTGGAGCATGAGTAGAGCCATCGTCATTGTTGGCGCTTGGCCTTTTTATTAAATAAAATGCTTCTAGTAAATGACGATAGTGCCTTTGATTTGGCACATTAACCAAATAACCAAGCTTTTCTCGGGTGTGAAAACCACTCGTGGTTCTGAATTGAATATTGCTTTGCTCTGTGCCCTCACTAGATGACATCATCTTCTCCCAAGACTCTAATTATTATCTATATGCTGAAGACTCCCGACTCTGTATCACTGCCCAGGCTTGTCTAGTGAGGGCCCGACCCATACATTCATTCATCTGTGTAGCTGCCCACTGGACAGGACGACTTGATGTCTTTATGGTTAAATCTGTATGACTAAAACGTGCCTCACCATCTGCCTCTTGGACCTTGCTCTTCTCCAGTGTTCCTAGCACATGCTGTGACCCTGGTGTTCTCTCGGGAAGACCAGGGCTTCTCCTGGACTCTCTCCTCTCTCTGCATACACAGTCAGTCACTATGTCCTGTTGCTTGTACTTCCAAAAGCCCTGGAACCCATTCTTCCCCTGTGCCTCACCTCACCTCACCTCACCTGGGCATTTGCTGATTTCCCTACTGAGTGAGCTGTCTCCAGTCCTGCTGTTCCTCTTCATCTTTCTGCTGACGACCAGAGGGTCTTTCAAAATGATCCCTGATCATGAAAACCTAATGGTGGCTTCAGAGCTGGGTGAGGGGGCCAGCTGTCCCAGGGCAATTTGTAAGTAGGCAGCAGAACCCTCCAGAAATTCAACAAATGACAAGAAAACACCTGCAGTTCTCAGAGGAAAGTGTTTGCATGGAAGCAACAGTCCCAGTCCCCAGTCCCTCCCTTGCTCACCCTCCTTGGCTTCCATTCTCCTCCCCCACAGAGGGGAGTTCTAAAATGACTTGGAGGAGATTGGATCTAGTTAGCTGGAGGGCTGTCACTCTGCTCCTTGGGGAATACAAGTTGGGGACAGAGCTTCCTTGCTTGGGGCAGTGGGCGAAGGGGCTGTTACCATTGTTTCTCTCGATTTGCTTTCCCCCCCAGAAAGAGCTCTAAGACAGATCCTCAGCTTGTCACCTCTTGACCTCAGCTCCAGCATTATCTGGGAACTCAGAACTGCAGGAATCTAACTCAGGGCTAGGGCCCGTTTATCTCTGTTTAGCTGCCCTCCAGCCAGGAGATTCTTCAGGGTGTTTCAGTCTGAGAGCCTCTTGCTAAGCTTTGCAAAGCTAAAGAACTTTGGTCTGCAGGGAGACATGCTGGTTAGCTGGGCCAGAATGCGTGCATGTCTTTCCTCTCTCTTTTCTTTTCTTGAGACAGTGTTGTTCACTCAGCAGACCAAACTGGCCTCTAACACAGACTTCCACCTGCCTCTTGCCTCCAGCGATGTGACTGAAGGTGTGCGCCACCACGCCCGGCCCTAATGATCTTACAGATTGTAAGCTGTGTGTTGTTCCTATTTGTCTTCAGAGCGGTGGCCTCCATTCCTTGGGATTGTTCCTCTCTTCACATTGCTGTAGAGGACCCTCCTGCTGGCTCTAACCATAGGAAGTGTCAGCAGCCAGCATCTACTGCACAGATATTTGCTGACTATTGCTACACTCGTACAGTGGTCTGGAGTTTAGACCCTTGAGATGCAGTTGGGAAAGATGAGTGTTAAGCCCTCTCTCTGATGAGGTTGAAGATGGGAGGGGGAGATATGGACATGAATAAAGGGGAAAATGATCTGCCAGGCAGGTGCAGACTAGAGGCCGAACTTGGATGCTGTGGAAGATGGCTGTTAGCAGCCATGCTCTAAGCAGGAACAAAGAGCGAATAGTGGGCCTGGAGGGAGAGAACCGATTGAAAAGTTTCTACACCCGATAAGCCTCTCTGCAGATGCAGCAATACAAACCAGACCTAATCAAACTGAATTAGAAGAAGCCCACATTTAATGGATACAATGCTCCTGTGTGGTCTTCCTGCCTCCCCAGAGAGGAGACGGGAAAGAGAGACCAGAAAACCACACGTCTGTTTTCTGGGAGGCAGTTTAAATACCCTATGGGAGTGGTCTTGAGCATCTCTAGGGCAGGGGTCATCATTGGGCAGGCTTTCTGAGAAGCAGCAGGGTTTGGAGAGAGATGGGGGAGGGAGGGGGCTTGGGTGGAACAACTTTTTTTTTTCTTTTTCTTTTTTTTTTTTTTTTTTTTTTTTTTTTTTTTTTTTTGGTTTTTCGAGACAGGGTTTCTCTGTGGCTTTGGAGCCATTCCTGAAACTTGCTCTGTAGACCACGGAGATCTGCCTGCCTCTGCCTCCTGAGTACTGGGGTTAAAGGCATGTGCCATCACCACACGGCCTTGGGTGGAACTTGTATCATAACATTCCAGACTCTTTGGGTATGGATGCCAGAGGCTGGGGTGAAGCCTCCTCCAGAACACTGATGAAGGAAGGGAGGACTGAGAAGTGAATAGGACATAGGTGTGTCTTTGTAAGGCATGCTAGGATCCATCCTTTGGGAAAACGGTTTTTCTAAAAGACATTTCAAATTCAAAAGTAAGTGGACTTTGAGAAGAGGCTGTGAACAATACTGTAGGCAGTGAGACTCCCACATGCCTCAAGACCGAGTGCTCCCCAGATTCATCTCTCCTACCTGTCCCCTCTGCTGGTCCATGTGGCCACGTCTCCTGTCTGCTGAGCTGGTGGGGTGGGTGGGGCACTCTTCATCCCTTGCCACCCTCTCACTTGCAGCACTGGGCACACTGCTAGCATGTGTTCTCACATTTATTATACATTTGCATATTATATGTATATGTCATATTACCACAAATGTGTGTGTGTATAGATATATGTATGTGTAAGCATTTGGAATCTAGGTGGCTTTAAAGTGGCATATTGTTATATAATACTATCAAGCCAATATTGTAGTTTACTATGCATAGATACTGTATATAAACTAAAACAACTAATAAAAACCCATCTGGGTTGTACCTTAAATATTTAATTCTTATGTTTCAGTACACCAAAAGGAATTGCATTTTCTTTTTGGAATTAAGCTTAGGGCAGCACTTTTTGAGGCAGTGCATTGTGGGAGCTTCTTCCTAACTGGGTCTTATTTCCCTTGATGCTGTGTTTCAGGATTTACATGTCAGAGCACTTTGGGCTCTCTCTCTCTCTCTCTCTCTCTCTCTCTCTCTCTCTCTCTCTCTCTCTCTCTCTCTCTTCCTTTCTCTCCCTCTCCCTCTCTCCTTTGTAGTGGCTGGCTGCCCACATCTTCCTCTTCTCATTGAAACACAAGCACTATGGGAACAGAACTTTTACCTGTTTGGTTCACTGCTGTTTCCCCATAATGCTGGCCATATTGTACCCCATGACTTTATCTGACTTGATGGATGAAATGTAAATAAGTGTTTTAGTCTATTTTTAAACTCTGGAGTTTTCTTCAGACTCAAAATTTGACTCAAAATGCTTGGCCTCCCGCTTGTATACAGGGTATGGAAGCCTTACTAGTTTTCCACCAGCAGCATGCACTGTGCTAGGTCCTGAGGACAGAGGGAGACAAGGAAACAGGGACTAAGGAAGAGCTTCCTGAAGAAGGGATGCGCAGGAGCTAGTCATGTGATGGCAGCCAGTGAGAAAGTAGTGCTCTCTGGGCCTGGTGTGAATGGGCAGGTACTTCTCAGACATACTTAATGTGTTGGTGAGAGTTAGTATGAATGGGCACACTTAGCGTGTTGGTTAGAGTTAGACACTATGTAGACAGTCAGCTGACTGTTCTTATACAGGGATGCTGGAGATAGAATCCACTCCCCTTTCGAAGGGGGAGATTTTCAAGAAGTTACCCAGAGCCAGTGCACAGCTCTCATCAAGACTTCTTTCTGTGATGTGCAGGTTTGTAGAAGAGGACCGTATCCCATATGTAAATGCTTTTCAGCTTTTCCCAGAAGAGATGAAAGTGTATGGTCGTGACAAAGGTATCTTTGCTATAGAGGTAAGTTGTGTTCTTCTGTGCATTGCAGTGAGTAACAAGGCGACAGTGTATTGTTTGTATGGTCTCTGGTGCAGTATCTGAGTCTACAGTCTTCTAGCATGTCCAAAGTCTAGTTTCAATAGCTGTATCATAATGAAGGGTAGATGTATTCTTTTTTAAAATTTGCATATGTGACCACTCTGAAAAAGATGTGTGTCTGTCTGTGTGTCACTGTTCATGCACTGTGGCTTCACAGGAGAGAAGAAAGTCATCACTTGTGCCAGGAGGCGCCAGTTCAAGTCTTCTGCTTGTGGTACTTGGTCTTCCTTCCTGAGACAGGGTCTTACTGCCTCACCTGCTGGCCTTCAGCTCACCATCCCTCTGCCTCAGCCTGCTGAGTGCTGAGATTACAGGTGTGAACCACATCCCTGGCCTCCTGTATCTCTCTAGACCTACTTTCCAGTAGAAATGCTGTTACCATTCAGTACACAAAGCTTACTTCCCCTTTATTCTTCATCATGCTTGTGAGAACGCTAACTATTAATGTTAAGTGTTTCCTTCCATTTTCCACAGAAGGGAGTATTGTGCTAGGACTTTGTGGTCTCTGTGGTGATAGCGCTGTTTGTAGCTTAAGAGGCTTCTGTGGAATACATACCAGTGGTTTCTGACTCTTGTAATGCTTGTGGCAACTTAATAAAGACAGCTTAGTACATAACACAATGGTGTTAAGGCTAAACCACTGTAGCTTTTCCACAGCCTTATATGACAGGCAGATCATGAGGCCTGGGTCTGGGCTAGATCTCCCATGTTAGAAGTCTTCTGTGCCATTATGGTTTGTCAGTCTTTGGTGAAAAGGACAGCTAGACAGGTCACAGGTTTTTTTCTTTAAAAAACAAGCATTGGACAACAATGTCCAAAAATTCCCAAGAACATGGGGCTTGAGAAATGACCAAAGTGAAGAGTACATTGGGAAGTTCTATTTATCTATGAAAAATAGAAACAAAACAACAGCGATGGAAAACTCTGCAGAACTTCAGTAAAAACATGAGTCCGGGGTATTTTTACCTGAGGTTGTTCCCACCAGTCACCAACTTAGTCCCAGCTGTGGGCTGCTGCCACCAGGGTGTGACTGTTACCATTAGCTTCATTTGGAGAGAAACAGAGGCCAGGTGAAATAAGAAATTCCACAGGGAATGGCCTGAGAAAGGCCACACCTTCCCAGCCTGATATTGACTGCTTATGAACCAAGCAGAGAGCCGTAGTTATTACGGGGACAGCGCAGATTCTGAGTAAGTGTCTCTACTGATGTCACCATGGATGGAGAGAAAATGACATCCATCTAAAGTTGATGTCTCATACCAAAAGTTGAGGCACAGACTGTCACATGTGTTTGTCTATCTATCTGTCTATTATCTATCCACCTGTCTATCTTTGTTACTTCATTTATTATTATTCAATCTTTCAAAAGTAGGTAGAGTTCCTTTTTCAGAAATAATATTTGAGGCAAGAGAAACATTCCATGGCAAACCAAACCAGTGTGGTTTATAAAGTAGTTCTCTTTTACTTCTTTAATGGGAGTGTTCTTGCATGCATGCATGTATGTGCATGTGTGCATGCATGCGTGTGTGCCTCTGTGTGTGTGTGTGCCTGCACATGTGTACATGTATGTGGACATCTTGCTATTGTCTTCTTTCTAACAGATACAATTAAGTCAGAGACAATAGGATGCCTTGTTGTATTGTACACTTTTGGGGGGTGGGAGTAGAAAATTATTTGAAAAAGAAAGTCAGTGTTTATATTCATTATTTGATAAGTGAAATTACAACTTAAAAATTGTTCAGAATAGGGGCTGGAGAGATTGCTCAGTGGTTAGGAACACTAGCTAATCTTCCAGAGGTTCTGTGTTCAATTCCCAGCAACCACATAATGGCTTGCAACCATCTGTAATGAGGTCTCGTGCCCTCTTCTGGCCTGCAGGAATACATGCAGACAGAACACTGTACACATAAATAAATAAATAAATAAATAAATAAATAAATAAGAAAAATTGCTCAAAATAAAGCCAGATAGTGATGGCACACATCTTTAATCCCAGCACTCGGGAGACAGAGGCAGAAGGATCTCTGAGTTCAAGGCCAGCAGATGAGTTCCAGGATAGCCAGGGCTGTCACACAGAGAAACCCTGTATCAAAAAACAAAAAGATAAACCAAACCAAAACAATAGAACAAAATAAGATAAACTTATTTATATGCCCCCCCTTGGCCAAATTTCCTTTACTATTTACCAGTAAGGATTGGCCTTCATTTTTAAAATGTATTTTTATTATTTTAAATTGTACATATCTATCTGTGGGTGAGTGTGTGCATATGAGTACAGGTTAGCATCCATTTTTAAGTAGATATATTTTGAATGGCTTTTACTAATATAAGTTAATTTTAGATAGTAATAACAGTATGGTGAAAATACAGTAAGGGTACAAAAATCACACTTGGGCTAGTGGGATTGCATACTGGGTAGAGGGGCCTTTCTCAAAGCCTGACAACTCGGGTCCAAACCCAAACGTGACACATAGAGCTAACACACACACACACACACACACACACACACACACACACACACACGTAAATAAATGAAAAACCTTTAATCATACTTATGTTACATTTAAACAAAAATCCTTTAATGGCTTATTTCTATTTTTAAATTGTAGCCACTTTTTTAAAAGATGTATTTATTTTTAATTTTTGTCAAGGTTGTTGAAGACACTATCTGTGAAGAATTGAGCTTGTTATATTTTTTGTGAGGTACTAATTGGAAGTGTTGAACCAGATGAAAGTGTATGACTAGAAGGGCAGTTAAGCAGGCTACATCATGTGACTGACATCTCAAGTCATTGCTCACTGACTTTCTGCATCTTTGCGTGGGGATTTGGACATGGTGAGAGATTTGTCTATTGCATTACACTCATCAGCTCCCACATCTGCTCCTTCAGGCTCTAACCACAGCTGTGAAGGTCCCTAAAATCTTGGCCATCAGGAAGCAATCTTGGAGGGGGCCAATCTCGAGGCGGGGGGCTGCTATAGTCACCATTTTCCATCATGCTAGGAATGACTGAGTGTGTTGCGCTTGTGATGGTGAACATCCACAGACGATTATGGGAGCAGAGTGTGGCTATAGCTCCCACCTGACCTGTAGAAAACAAAAGGAAATAGTAATAGTAGAAACCCTTGCTGTGTTTCAGCAGCCCAGGTTTGAAGTGCTTTCTAACTGATTACTCACGCCAAGCCCATGAAGTATGTTTCATGCACTGTTACTGTTCTTTTTACATTTGGGGGGTGTGACAGTAGTTAGGTAGCTGGGCCGGCATTCTTACTCTGAACATAGCCTAGACTGGCCGAGTCTGGAGGGGACTGTAAGAACCCATGAGTATCATGGGGGTGGGGTTGTGAGTTAGGGAACAGGAGGCAGAGATAGGGTAAAGGGAGCCTCAACCTGCTTACTGAAGCCAACAGGTGGCCTGAGGCAGAGATGGCACTAGGAACAAAAGGCCTGTGATAGGGAACAGGCTGGTGGTTCAAATGGGAGCTATTCCGTTTCTGGCTCAAGGCCAGGCCTGCTACCCAGAGCAGCCACCTGAAGTGGACTTCTTCCTGATATGGCAAGTTAGTGTTTCCTGGCTTGGGCAGGGATGAGGTCATTGGTGTGAAGGACAGAGGACCCCTGTTTCAAAGCTTGTCAGAATGTGGTAGAAGCCAAATCTAGACGACACAGGGAGGAAACACTACCCTCGTAGACTTGTTGGGGAGAATAAAAACTCAAGTTCTTAGTCTTGGAAGTGGTCTGGACTCAGAGTTGATATTTTATCTTTATGGTACATGCACAGATGTGTACAAATGTGTGTGTCTGAGTGTATACACTTATGCAGAGGCCAGAAGATGCCAAGTGCTTCCCACTATTGCTGTTTCCTGTTTACCTAATTACATTGAGGCAGGGTTTCTCACCTGTTCTTCAGCCCTGGATTGTCTTCTTTCCGTCCTCTCCTTCCATGGCCACTGTGTCATGCAGCGAGCGCACCTCCTGACACGGAGAGCTTACATGACTCCTCACAGCCGGCACTCTAGCTGTGCCTGGGCAAGGCTTCGTGTCTGTTCTGCTGATGTCTGAAAGTATTCTGGTGGTCACCTCCCTAACCAAATTGCAGCCCAGGACAGACACCAACAACTTTATCCTAGACGAATAGGAAACTACAGCTAGAGGGGAATTGGGTGATCACACAGCCTGCTTTTCATGTTTCCAATGTGAAAACTAACCCAACAATCTTTCAGTACTTGAGTACTGCCTGTGATATGCAAATATATGACAAGTATCCACACAGTGTCTTCCTTCAGGCCCCAAGAAGGAAGCCCCCTCCCCTGATGGGGGTGAAGGGAACGATAAAACTGTGGTGGGGAGGGGCAGTATTGGTTTTGAAAAAAAAGGTTTTCAATACAACTTTCCTTTAGCCTTTGATCTTGCCCATTTCTAGGGTGTCTCAAAGTAGGAAATTTCTGCACATCCGGCTTCTGTAGGACCTTAATCTTGGTTATAGAGGATATTGCATCTTGAGCTGAGGTTATGTGTTTGAGATTAGTATTAAAATAGTTCTTTTAGTTAGGAAATGTAGATTTACTGTTTTGCAGGTGGTATGCACATGTGTGTACGCATGTGTGTGGAGGCCAGAAGTCAAGTGTCTACCTCTACCTCTCCATCTTTTTTTTTTTTTTTTTTTTTTGAGAGGCATCTCACTGAACCTTAGTTAGGCTGGCTGCCTGTTTCCTGGGAGTGGTGCTGGGATTACCAGTGTGCATGCATGGCATTTATGGGGTGCTGGGAATCTGAGCTCAGATCCTCATGCTTGCATAGGAAGTCTATACCCACTGAGCCACCTCTCCCAGCTTAGTGTCACTGTGATAAAGTGCCATGACCAAAAGCAACTTAGGGAGGAAAGGGTTTTTATTTCAGTTTACAGCTCTATAGCTCAGTC